GAAATGCGATTGTCTTTTGTACATTTATTTTATATCCTGAGACTTTGCCAAAGTCCTTTAACAGTGTAAGGAGTTTCTTGGGTTTTCAAGGTACATGATCATGTCATCTGCAAAGAGAGATAACTTGACTTCCTCTTTTCCTATGAGGATACCCCTGATTGCCTTGTCTTCTCTGATTGCTTGAGCCAGGACTTCCAATACTATATTGAACAGGAGGGGTGAGAGTGGGCATCCTCGTCTCGCTCCAGTTTTCAGGGGAAATGGTTCCAATTTTTGTCTGTTTAGGAGTATGCTGACTGTGGATTTCTTATAGATAGCTTTTACTATTTTGAGGTATGTTCCCCATATCCCTAGCTGTTCGAGGGTTTTTATCAAGAAAGGGTGCTGGATTTTATTAAAAGTTTTTTCTGCATCTAATGACATAATCATGTGGTTTTTGTTTTGATATCTGCTATGTATTTAATTACATTTATGGTTTTACGAATGTTGAACCAGCCTTGCATCCCAGGTATGAAGCCTACTTGGTCATGATGGATGATTTTTGAGATGTGTTGTTGAATCCAGTTTGCTAGGATCTTGTTGAGAATTTTAGCATCTATGTTCATCAAAGATATTGGCCTGTACTTCTCTTTCTTTGTTGGGTCTTTACCTGGCTTGGGTATCAATGTGATGTTAGCTTCGTAAAATGTTTTGGGGAGAGTTCCATCTTTTTCAATTGCCTGGAATACCTTCAGTAGGACTGGTATCAGCTCCTCCTTAAATGTCTTGTAGAATTCTGCTAGAAAGTCATCTGGACCAGAGCTTTTTTTTTGTAAGTAGTTTTCTTATTATGTAGACAATTTTCTTGATTGTTATTGGTCTATTTAGGGTCTCAATTTCTTCTTGTTTCAACCTAGGCAGGTTGTGTGATGTCAGAAAGTCCTCCATTTCCTTAAGGTTTTCAAGTTTGTTTCCATACAAATGTATATAGTGGTCTCTAAGGATCTTTTGTATTTCTTCAGGGTCAGATGTGACTTCATCTTTTGTGTTTCTGATTGTGTTTATTTGGGTTTTTTCTTGGTCAGTCTAGCTAGGGGACCATAGATCTTGTTTATCCTTTCAAAGAACCAGTTTTTTGTTTCATTGATTTTTTTGTATTATATTTTGTCTTCTATGTCCTGGATTTGTGCTTTTATTTTGGTGATCTGGATTCTTCTGCTGAAATTAGTGCTTTGGTGGTCTTGCTTTTCCAGCTTCCTTAGGTGACTTGTTAGGCTATTAATTTGTGATCCTTCCATTATCTTCATGTGTTTGTAGGGATATAAATTCCCCTCTTACTACAGCTTTCATGATGTCCCAGAGATTTTGGTAAGATGTTTCTTCATTTTCATGTTTCCAGGTACCTTTAAATCTCTGTTTTGATTTCATCATTGACCCAGGAGTTGTTTAGCATCATGCTGTTTAGTGTCCATGTCTTTGTGGGTTTTAGGGGGACTTGGTTCATGTTGATATTTAATTTTATTCCACTATGTTCCAAGAAGGCACATGGTAAAATTCCAGTTCTTTTAAATTTGCTTATACTTGATTTATGGCCAAGTATGTGGTCAATCTTGGAGTACGTTCCATGTGGTGATGAGTAGAATGTATATTCTGTGGTCTTTGGATGGAGTGTTCTGTAGGTATCAATTAAGTCCATTTGGTCAAGAGTCACATTGAGGTTTCGGATCTTGTTGCTGATTTTTTGTCTTGATGATCTGTCTAGGGTTGTGAGTGGGGTGTTGAAGGCCCCAGCTATGATGGTGTTGGAGTTGATATCTTTTTTTAGTTTACCTAGAAGCTGCTTTATGAAAGTTGGCGCCCCTATGTTGGGTACATATATGTTTAAGATGGATATTTCTTGTTTATGGATTGAACATTTTATCATTATGTAGTGGCCTTCTGTATCTTTTTTGATTTTTAATAGGTTGAAGGGTATTTTGTCTGAAATTAAGATCGCTACTCCTCCTTTGTGTTCCGTTTGTCTGAAAGCTTGTTTCCCATCCTCTTACTTTGAGTCCGTGAGTGTCCTTTCTAGTGAGATGAGTCTCTTGAAGGCAATAGATTGCTGTCTGGTGATATTTTACCCATTTTGCCATTCTATGTGTTTTCAGTGGTGCATTTAGTCCATTCACATTAAGGCTAATTATTGAAATGCAAGAGTTGATCCCTGTCATAAGGTTATTACAGAGTTTTTGTTCCTGTTTGTTTGTTTTGTTTCTTTTGGTTTGGAGTTGGTTCATGTGTGTTTTTAATCTTTTGCCTGTACTCTTGTGAAGAATGTTGTTGTTCTTTATTCCTTTTCTTCTGTGTTCAGTAATTTCTTAAGTGTTTCTTGTAGAGGTGGTCTGGTGGCAGCATAGGTTCTTAGGGATTGGATATCTGAAAAAGATTTCAATTCTCCCTCACTAATTAAGCTTAGCTTGGCTGGGCAGATTATTCTTGGTTAAAATCATTTATCTTTTAGAACTTTGAAGATAGGGCTCCAGGCTCTCCTAGCCTGGAGGGTTTCTGTAGACAAATCTCCTGCTATTCTAATTGGTCTTCCCTGGTAGGTAGTCTGGCCTTTTTCTCTTGCTGCCTTTAGAATTTTTTCTTTTATAGCTCCTTTGTTTAAGCGAATTATTATGTGTCTGGGAGTTGGTCTTCTCATTTGCTGTGTTGCAGGGGTTCTCTGAATCTCTTGTGCTTGAATTTTTGTGTCACTGATGAGATGAGGGACGTTCTCTAGAATGATTTCATGAAATGTTTGTTCCAGTATGACCTCTGACTCTCTCTCTGCCTCAGGAAGGCCAATTACTCTTAGATTGGGTCTCTTGAAGTAATCATTCATCTCCTGAAGGTTTTGTTCTGACTTTTTAAGCTTCTTTTCTATGTTTTTGACATTTGGGTTAGTTCTGTATTTTGGTCTTCAAGTTTTGAGATTCTTTCTTCTGCTTGGCTAATTCTGCTTTCCATGTTTATTAGTTTGTTATTTATTTTCATCACAGTATTCTTTACTGCTGTTATTTCTGCCATCAGCTCCTTCCTATTTTCCTCTTGTCTCTTCTCAATTTTTAAAATTCTATTAATGCCTTGATGTCTGGGCTCGTTGCTTATGACCAGTCATTCTGGAAGCTCTTCATTGTTTGTGTTCCAAAGTCTGTTTTCTCAGTGTCTGACCTCCCAGGGGTCTGTGTGTGAGTCCTATATTCTTCTTTTGGTTTTTCTTCATTTGTGCAGATCTTTCCTCCCTGCTTTTCCCTTCCCCCCACTTCCCTATCTTCTTTAATTCTGTTATTCAGGGGTGGAGGGGTTTCTTTTACTTCTGTTTGCTCAATCTCCTATTCTTCCTAATGTATTTCCTCTTGCTTTGTTCAGTTCTGGAGTTGGACTGTAGGTTGAGGGCAGTCCTTTTTGTAGTCTTGGGATTTAATTAAGGGGGGAGCTGTGATTCAAAATCTCTGCAGATCCCAGTATCTGCCAACAGGTGTATGGATAGTCTGAAACCCATTTCCCACTGCCTTGGAGTCTGTCCATGCAGTAGGGTTGTAGGTTTACTTCCTGAAAGCAAAATGAGGTTAACAGAGGGAAGAGAATGGAGCAGGCAGTGGGGAGAGAAGGGGGGTGGAGAGAGAGAGAGAGAGAGAGAGAGAGAGAGAGAGAGAGAGAGAGAGGAGTGAGAGGGAAAACAGATGAGTGTACCAACTGGTAAGTGAGAAGAGACACAAAGACTGAAACAAATATAAAAAAAATAACCATGACTGAAAACTAACCAACAACCATATAAAAAGCTAAAACATACAATGATGCTAACGTACACGCTGACCAACCTCCTTGTTGATTTGCTATTCCTTTATACAAAGATGGGGTTTACAGAGAAATAAGAAAAAAGGAAAAAGGAAAAAAAAAAGAAAAAAAAGGGAAAAGGGATAGATTAAAGTCAGTAGACTAACAGAACCAACCAAGCACACTTTGAGACTTTTCCTTGAGTCCAATGTCCTTTCAGTTCTGATTTCTAGCTGTCTTTGCAGGCTGGTAGAATTGTTTACAGTTAGGGTCAGTTGCCCCTGGCCTGCTGTGAAGAACAGTTCAGATATGGGCACCCTGCCCAGTCTATTACTGAGATCTGGCTTTTTCTATTTATCAAGAGGGATGAGCCTCTGCCATTCTTGTTTTGATGTTGCTACCTTGGACTCCCGGCAGGTGGTGCTATCTCACAGCTGCAATCCAGAGGGGAGTGAGCTGGTTACGGATTCGTGACCTGCCATAGCAACTTCCCCATACATGGGGGGAGTTCCACAGGCCTGTCTCCAGGCTAGGGGCATGGTGTGGCAGTGGCAGTAGCAGCTGGGCAGTGGCGATCTCAGAAGATCCTGCTTGCAGGGGCTTCATGGTCTGAAGTCGTGGGTCACTTCAGGCATGAGCTGGGAATGACCGCAGCAGCGGCATCCGTGACTACAGGAGCAGCCCAGACCCCCGTGACATCTGAGTAGCAATGACCGGTGACAGTGGCGGCTGAGCTCCCTGTGAAGAGTAGGCTGCAGAAGATGGGAGCTGTAGTCCTTGGGAGAGAGATAGGGTCTTTAAGAGTGTTCTCTTTCGCAGAGGGTCTCACAGACCATCAGCCAACATTTGATTTAAAAGAATGTTACAGGTTTAGGTACTAATTTGAGAACTTGTCTCTGCATCTGAGTTTCCCACTCTCTGTTATTTGTGATAAATTTGTCTTTTTAAACTCCATTTCTGTCCTAAGTAAGACTTGAAATCTAAACACAGTGAAGAAGCCATCTCTCTTAACTCCTGTTTCTTCCACTTACTTTTTTTAAATGTTCTTTTAAAGTGGTGAGCAGCAGGCACTGCAGGCAACAGTCTAAGGATGTACCTATCAGTGAAGCTCTCAACTACCTGGAAATGAGAACTATTGACTAGATTCTTTTCCTTATAAACAGCAACAACAACAACAACAAATTTCCCTAGCCAGAAAGAAATGGTTAGTGGGTTTAGTTTTAAAAAGCTAAATGAATTTACAATAAAAATCATCACAATTCAAACTTCCATTAATAACTTTGCTTCAAAGTTCAAGGGAAAGATGGAAAAATCACAAAAGAGCATACAATTGAAAGTTTAACTATTTGACATTACTAATCATCAAAGAAACAAATTAAAATGGCCATTAGTATGTGTATGAGGTTACCTTAAAATGCAAGATGGGCCCACCTGTGTCTGGTGGCTTCATACTCATTGGAACCCAGGTGCAACAAGTACTTGCTTTTGCAAGGTCTGCCTTTGTCTGACACAGCCAGGCCTCTGTACTTTCAATTCCAGGCTGTCAGTTCCTGGGAGGGTGAATTAAGTTTTCTACCTATTTTGGTATTTCCAAAGGCAGTCATAGATCAAGTCCTCAATAAGTATCAAATTATACCCTAGCAGGAAGGGTACAGGTTCCCTGATGCCCTTGGGAGGAAAAATGTGCAATGGGGAGAAGAAAAGTTTTATAAATAACAGGAAAATGGAGGACACCTCAAAGCATCTTCCTTTTTTCTTGCTCCAAGCAATCTTATAGGTGTTTGTTCTTCTCCAAGAAATTCTTTTAAAGATATAATCTCACGTGCTGTGTGAGTCCTTCTTTGAGTGCCTCAAACAATTTAAGGGACTGCTACATAGTGAGTCCTCAGTTATCATGGAATTATACTTTGGGCTTCCTCTAAGCAGTTTTTCAAAGACTATTTGAGGTCAGATATTTTGAGATAGATCCTGGAGAAATACTCTTCAGTGTCTTACACTGATTTGAAAATTAAGAAACTATATTACTCTAAAATGTTTACAGCATCTCTAAGTGCCCCATAAATAGTAGGTACTCAGTAAATATTGATTAATTAGGATCTCTAACTTTTTCAGCGCATGATTTAACCCATGAGTGTCTGTGGAGATTTTAAATTTTAAAAAAGCACATAAGAGGTCACAAACATAAAAACTTAACAGTGAGTTACTCTATCATAAGTATTTCAATATTTTAAGTTCCTCCTTAAATGCAACCCAACATAGGTATTGGATTACAACAAAGTTCACTTTATTTTAAAATTATATACACAGATCAGGCTAATGAGTTTTTTGCTTTACTAGAAATTCTTCTAAAATAGCTCTCATAGGTCCTAAAAAACAAAAGTCTTAGTTATAAGGCATATTTTTTTTACCTGCACATCTTCATTTGTGTACTTTTAATTTCAGTATCTGTCACCTCATTCCTCAATATTATTCTGACTGCACAGAGTTTACGTAAATCTGGAAGTGCGATGAAAAATAGAGACTGCTGCCTAGAATCATTCATATTTTCCTACTGACTGAGTGCCTCAGCAATCAGGCCTTTAAAAACAAAAACAATAAAAAGGTAGTAACTGTTTTACCAATAGGGTTTCAATACCAACTCAGCACATAATATTTAGCATTATGTTAGAATAAGATCATAGAAACAAGTTAGCTAGCAAATTTCAATAATTAAATATCGCTAACATTTTTCCTTTAAGGTTTTCTAATGATTTTCTAAGATTTTTTTGGTACAAGTTTTATTAACATATAGCTCACACAACATACAATCCACCTATTTAATGTGTACAAGTCAATGTTTATTATGCTCAGAGCTGAGCAGTCATCACCACAATATAGTTTAGAATATTTTCATCACCCCCAAAGATAATCTAGAGTTTTAAACTTGCAGTTCTATAACACAAATAGAATAATTTGAGTACAAATAATACAAAACTCATTTATTAAATGACTATTAAGTATGTTTCTATCACATTGCATTTATTAAAAAAATTCTTTCTACAGTTCCTTAAGTTTTATTTTGTTTTCAAAAAAACAAAATGTTTTCTATAACAAAAATTTTTTTAGACGTCAAAATGTATAGCAAAATCTTCTGTTGTTTCAGATTACCTCTGTCATCAAAGCACTTCAAGGTTAAGGAGTACATTATTCTTTATTTTACACAAAAGAAAATATTTACTGGGACCTCAAAATTATTACCTAGTTTTTGTTTCCACTAAATCATCTGGCTTTAAAATTCTATTGGGGCACATTTTACAGTTGATAATTCACAGGATATACCTTTGAAGTCCATATTATGTATTATTACATTTTTAAAAAGCTAGAATATAAAAGTAAAGCAACCTATTGAAGCTCAACTACTCTAACATTTCACAAATACATCTGGGGATAGTAACTAGGACTCCGGTGCTGTAACCATAAACATGTTTTCTCTTTTTAAGGACTCATATATTAGTCCAGGAATCTGAAGTGCGATCAGCCTTAAGTCTGATCACAGTAGGGAAATGCCTTGGTAGTGTCATTTGAGGAATGCTGACAATATCCTTTCGGCTCTAACATATCTCCCTCACTCAAGCAACACAGTGTTTGAAACAGTCAAGATTAGATAACCACTCGGTTTTTGGTTTTTGTTTTTAGTTGGAGTCTCTCTCCGTTGCTCAGGTTGGAGTGCAATGGCATAGTCATGGCTACTGCATTCTTGACCTGCTGGGCTCAGGCGATCCTTCCACCTAAACCTCCCATGTACACCACCATGTTCAAATAATTTTTTGATTTATTGTAGAGACAAGGTTTCGCCATGTTGCCTAGAATTGTCTTGAAATCCTGAGCTCAGGCAATCCTCTTACTTTAGCCTCCCAAAGTGTGGAATTACAGGTATGAGCCACCACACCCAGCCTCACCAGGTTCTTTTAAAAACAGAGGTATGCTTTGTTTTTTTTTTGAGTTGGAGTCTCACTCTGTCGCCCAGACTGGAGTGCAGTGGCTGCTCCCGGCCACCACAGCCTCGACCTGCTGGGCTCCGGCGATCCTTCCACCTCAGCCTTCCAAGTAGCTGGAACTACAGGCACGTGCTACCACGCCCGGCTCATTTTAAAAAATTTATTGTAGAGATGAGGTCTCGCCAAGTTGCTCAGGCAGGTCTCGAACCCGCGGGCTCAGGCAATCCACTCACCTCAGCCTCCCAAAGGCACGGGATTACAGGCTGAGCCACCGAGCACGGCTAACAGAGGTACTCTTACAGTGGTTAACACAATTCACACAAAGTATTAATGACTTACTGAGATAATTTCTGGTATCATTACAAATAAAAATATTCCTTCCCTCTCTGATTTTATATTGTGAAAAGTAAGAAAAAAAGTACAAAGTTCCAAGGCAAACACAACCTACTCCAGTCATACTTGCAATTCACTTGTATCTGAGGTGTTTTAATAAAGGGCATCAATAATTAACAGGGTAAAATATAAAGCAAAAGATTAATCTTGGCTTGGTCCAGGACAATTGTGAATAATATAAAGAAAATAGGTCAAGGACATAGGTGAAAGTTTGTGATTTGTTACTTTCATTTCTAAAACACATTTCCCATTAATATTTCTCTCTCTCTCATGATCATGCCTCACCACAGCCTCAACCTCCTGGACTCAGGTGATCCTCCTGTCTCAGCCTCCCGAGTAGCTGGGACTACAGGTATGCACCACCACACCCAATTAATTCTATCATTTTTTGTGGTGACAAGGTCTTGTTATGTTGCCCAGGCTGGTCTTGAGCTTTCGGGCTCAAGCAATCCTCCTGCTTTTGCCTTGGCCTCCCAAAGTGCTAGCATTATAGGCATGAGCCACTGCAACCAGCCTACTAAAACTACTTTCTATCTCATTTTCCCTTTAAATATCATACAACAGGAATCTAAATTCCAGGTCACCAAGATATTCCCGCGAGCAGTCCTTCCTTTTTGTCAGTTTTCAAAAACCTGCTGATCAGAAAATTAAATGTAAACAAGATAGATCTGTTCAGAGACAAGAAGGAATTTATTAGAATTACTCTGGAAAAATTGTCTTAAATTCATAATTGGCAAAATCTGAAAATTCAAAAATAATTTTTCTTTTGCTAGGCTGTACAAGAAAAACTTAAAACCTGAGCCAAGCCTTATTCATTTTCATGAACATTATGAATATTTACGAATCACTAGCTTGCAGTCCAGACACTAGTGCTCAGGACATTTCTGTGCTAAGACTCCAGCTTTGTCCCCAGTCACCAGTTGGGCAAGGAGTAAGTATTAGCAACGACCAACAGGTACCGACACAATTCTACAGCTGAGGACTCGGAGAACCCAAACAGAACCCAGACTGGGAGTGCCCGGTTGGACTTTCAGCCCCTCAGGAGCTTCATTTATTTTACACCTGCGGGGACCTTCCCCAGGAAGAACCCACCAGGTCAGATCCAGGGCGGGCTCCACGTCTGCCTTCCTGTGGGCCCTTGGGCAAGTTCACCTTTCCCCTCAGGGCCTCGCTTTCTCCTCTACAGTCGTGGTTCTGGGTGGAAACGTGTCTCAGGTCTCTGTTAAGCTAAATCCATTCTTTTTCTTTTTCTTTTTGAGTTGGAGTCTCACTCTGTCGCCCAGACTGGAGTGCAGAGGCCGCTCCCGGCCACCGCAGCCTCGACCTGCTGGGCTCCGGCGATCCTTCCGCCTCAGCCTTCCGAGTAGCCGGAATTACAGGCGTGCGCTACCACGCCCGGCTGACTTTTTTTTTATTGTTTACTGTAGAGATGAGGTCTCGCTGCCCAGGCGGGTCTCGAACCCGCGGGCTCAGGCAATCCACTCACCTCAGCCTCCCAAAGGCGCGGGATTACAGGCTGAGCCACCAAGCCTGGCTGCTAAATCCATTTTTAAAAGGCAGTTCTGCCGATTTCCAGCAAAATAAAATGCCGTGGAAGCCGGGACCCACCCACGGGCCTACACCTTTCCGGATCTAGCCCAGCTTTCTCCGGGCGCTGGCGCCAGGATCCTGCCCTAAGAGCGCCGCTGACCTGTTCCCTCATCCCCTCCCTACCCAGACGTCTTCGTAGCAGGGGAACATAAAACTGGTGTGGTGCTTTGAAAGAACGGTTCAAGCGACGCCCCACCCGCTGTGGCCTCCAGAGGGCAAGCGCTCCGGCATTCTCCCTCAGGGCGAGGAAAGGCCGGGTGAGTGAGCCGCCGCCAGCGGCCTCCCCCGCTTCCCTCGGCCTCCCTCAAGCAGATGCCTGCCAGTCCAGTTGGGTCCTACCAATCTGGCCTCTCCTTGCCTCAGTAGGACAGCAGTCTCCGCGGGACCGTCGTCACACGGCCTGCACACCTCACACAGCCGTCGAGTCACTCTCACTCCCAGCATGCCCCGCTCTACGGGCGTGGCCTACGCTCCCAGAGTGCCCCGCTCTCCCAGCATGCCCTGTGTGTCCCGCTTCCCTCCTTGCGTGCCTCAGAGCCCTCTTGCCATCTTTTGGGCGAGGCTCCCCACCTATCCCTGAGTTTCTGGCACGCCCTGCTCTCCCAGCATGCGGCGCACTCCCAGCATGCCCTGCGTGCCTGGCAAGACCAGCTGGTTGGCTTTCCCCGCCGACACGGGATAACCCGACGCAGGACGGGGACTCTGCGATTCTCTGAGAGAAGGGTTGGCGCGGCTGGGGTCTGGCACCAGACGCTGGTGACCGCCCTCCAGGGAGAGGGAAGCTGGATCAGCGCATCACGACCGCGGGGGAGCCGTGACAGCCGAAGTCGACACTGCTTACGGTAGGCAGTCTGACGTCACATCCGTGCGTTTCCGCTCGGATTCTCATGCTGGCTCTTTGAAGCTTCTGCAAGTTCTTTGCTGTCACTGAACCTCCATGACGCGGGCATCCTAATACATGGTGCTGGGGGGATGGGGGTTGGGAGAAAGCTTGGTGCAAGCTCGGACAGGAGCCTTATTCATTTGACAAATAATTATTAAGCACCTACTCTGTACAGGTGCTTTTCTGGGGTTTGTGACAGAGCATTCAGCAAACAACACTCCTTGACCTCCTGGAGCTTACACTCTACTCTGGAGTTGGGGAAAACGGATAATAAGCAAGATGAATGTGCAAAATCTTAGGATGGTAGAGGGTGACTGGTGCGTTGTAGCAAAAGGACGGGGAGTCAGGACGTGCTGGGAAGAGGCATGGAGTGATCAGGAAGGTGTAATGCAGTAGCCCCAGATCTGAGAGGATTTGCTAAGGATATTTATCTATTCCAGGGAAGTCACCCGATGTCCAGCAGGGAAAGACATTGGTTTTTTGAACTTACAGGAGGTATCAGTGGCGGCCAGCTGGTGAAAAAAGAATCCGTGCCTCAGGACAGTCCAGCAAGCTGTTTTATAATAAAGCAAGTTAATTATTCACATCACTATATGTGTTTACAATCAGTGAGTCAGGGTGCCACCCACATTGTTCTCAGCTTTGCTCGATCACTTGCACCCTATGATTCGTTGCTGGGAATATGAGTATCTTGCAGAG